GTCGTCGGGGGGCGGGGGGGGGTGGGGGTGTCGCCCAGCGGTTTTCCCCCCGAGCCCCCCGACCGCCTGTGTGGTCCAGGTTGTACAAAAGTGCATGTGTAGCATCCTGCCCAGACTGCTGTTGCTTTAGGAAATGTTTCTTTTCTCTCTCTGTGTGTGTGTGTGCGTGTGTGTGTGTGTGTGTGTGTGAAAGCCTTTATGAAGTAGCGGCCTGCAGACGGATCCGTCACATCGAGTCTATGGATTGTGCGTGTGTGTGTGTGTTAAAGCCTTTATGAAGTAGCAGCCTGCAGACGGATCCCTGACATGGAGTCTATAGATTGTCATGTGTGTGTGTGTGTATGCACGTGTGTGCATGCATGTGTGTGTGTGTTAAAGCCTTTATGAAGTAGCAGCCTGCAGACGGATCCCTGACATGGAGTCTATAGATTGTCATGTGTGTGTGTGTGTATGCACGTGTGTGCATGCATGTGTGTGTGTGTTAAAGCCTTTATGAAGTAGCAGCCTGCAGACGGATCCCTGACATGGAGTCTATAGATTGTCATGTGTGTGTGTGTGTATGCACGTGTGTGCATGCATGTGTGTGTGTGTTAAAGCCTTTATGAAGTAGCAGCCTGCAGACGGATCCCTGACATGGAGTCTATAGATTGTCATGTGTGTGTGTGTGTGCACGTGTGTGCATGCATGCGTGTGTGTGTGTGTGTGTGAAAGCCTTGATGAAGTAGCGGCCTGCAGACGGATCCCTCACGGGGAGTCTATAGATTGTCATGTGTATGTATGTGTGTGCGTGTGTGCATGCATGTGTTTGTGTGTGTGAAAGCCTCTATGAAGTAGCGGCCTGCAGACGGATCCCTCACGGGTAGTCTATAGATTGTCATGTGTATGTATGTGTGTGCGTGTGTGCATGCATGTGTTTGTGTGTGTGTGAAAGCCTGTATGAAGTAGCGGCCTGCATACGGATCCCTCACGGGGAGTCCATGGAAATCTTGTCATGCCACACACACACACACACACACACACACACACACACGGCGTCCACAGTTCCCCTGCAAAAAAAAAACAAAATGCAAAAAAAAGCAGATATCAGTTCTGAGCCTTTGCCTGTGTTGGGGATCGGTTGTTGCTCCCCCTGCCACCCCCCCATCCCCATCCCCCGGGGAATCCGGCCAGGACGGGAAGAAAGCTCCCCTTTTGCCAGAGCCGGGCCCCGCCGAGCGAATCCGTAAAAATCGGCCTTTTGTTCGCCCGGCAGCTGCAGGAGGCGTCGGCCGAGGCGCAGGCTGCTCCCCGCTTTGCTAATCAGATCGGACGGGGCGTGTGTCTTTGTTCTGTGTCGAGGCCGTGGAGTCCCCGGTGGGTTCGTCCCCACTGCTTTTCGATGCTTCGGATGCTGGTCGGAAAAGATAACGTTTTTGTGCGTTTGTGGGTTCGGTCGCCGGTGAATGACAGTGACAGAAAGAGGGGAAACACACAGAGAGAGAGAGATAGTGGGGGGCAGAGGTGAAAAGTGATTTGCATGGGTTTTCCAGGAAGTCAGGGTAGCTCCCAGGCATGCCGAAGAGACCCCCCGCCCCCCATTTAAAATTGATCGACCACCTGGGCCCGAGCAGCGAGGCTCAGTGGGTTGAGCATCGACCTAGGATCCAGGAGGTCCCGGGTTCGATTCCCGGTCACAGGCACAGGCCCGGGTTGTGGGCTCCATCCCCAGTAGGGGGCGTGCAGGAGGCGGCCGGTCCATGATTCTCTCTCATCATCACGGATGTTTCTCGCTCTCCTCTCTTTTCCTCTCTGGAACCAATAAAAATATATTTTTAAAAATAATAATAAAACACAATTGGGGGCCAGCGTCCCTCTGACCCTGTCTCATTCTCTCATCGTCCTTTTCATCTTTCGTAAAGAATATTTGGAGTGAAATAAAGTGTAAGAAGAGAAAAAAAAACAAAACAAAATAAAACAGTGACCATAGTTATGTTTTGCCTCCAGACATGACGGCCACACCAGGAAATAGTAGCCAAAGATATTTCACAGATGGCATCTGTGAACTTACTGTCTTTTAATTTTATTTAAATATATTTTTTATTGATTTCAGAGGATGGAGCCCGCAACCCGGGCACCTGCCCTTGACCGGGATTCGAACCCAGGACCCATCAGTCCGCCGGCCGATGCTCTACCCACTGAGCCACACCGGCTAGGGCTGAGCTCGGCTGTCTTTACGTCAGAAACCCAGTCCTCAGTATCATTGGGAAGGTGAGCCGTGTCCCCCAAACGTAGCCCCTCTTCCTTCGAATACAAAACCCCTGAACTAAAAACTCATTATTTAAATCAGTGTGGGTTTTTTTATATAAATATATTTTTTCTAGAGGCCCGGTGCACGAAATTCGTGCAAGAATAGGCCTCCCTTCCCCCGGCTGCCAGCACTGGCTTCCCTCTGGAGCCTGGGACCCGGGCTTCCCTCTCAGCCCCAGCATCGTCCGGGAGGTTGTCCGGAAGGATGTCCGGACTAATTAGCATATTGCACGTTTATTACAGACTAGAGGCCCGGTGCACGAAATTCGTGCAAGAGTAGGCCTCCTTTCCCCCGGCTGCCGGCACCAGCTTCCCTCTGGCACCTGGGACCTGGGCTTCCCTCACAGCCCTGGCTTCATCCGGGAGGTTGTCCGGAAGGGTGGCCGGAAGGACGTCCGGAAGGGTGTCCGGAAAGACGTCCGGTCTAATTAGCATATTGTGCTTCTATTATCATACAGTGATTTCAAAGAAGAACAGAGAGAACGGAAACATTGTGATGAGAGAGAATCGTGGATCGGCTGCCTCCTGCACGGTCCCCCACTGGGAATCGAACCATGCATGGTACACGATCGATTCGGTGGTCTGTCTTGGGGGAAATTTGAGCGTTTTTTTCTCTCTCTGTGTGTGTGTACACGGTGTAGAATCTTATCAGCCCAAACTGGAGCGTGGGGTAAGGCTGCTTCCTTCCGACAGATCGCCGTGTCTCCCGGAGGAGATGGCGTGTGTCCCCAGCGTCTGCGAAATTACCGCCAGCCGGCCGTCCCTCCATCACACCCCAAAGGAATGGAAATATGGGGGCGTCCACGCCGTCGGGGGACGTCTCTGTGGAATGACTTCCCCTATGTGTTCCGTATTTCCCATCCGTCTTCAGCTAGCAATACGCAGCGTTAGGTATCAGGCCTATGACTTTGGGGTAAAGGGAGGGGGGGAAAGAAAAAAAAATCAAAAAAATCCAGAGTTCTTGTTCAACGACATCATCAATCATTCCTTTAGCTTTTTCAGAAGATGACGGTTAAAAAAAAA